GAATAGAATAGAATAGAATAGAATAGAATAGAATAGAATAGAATAGAGATAAATGTAGAATAGAATAATAATAAAGAATAGAATAGAGATAAATGTAGAATTGAATAGAATAGAATAATAAGGAACAGAATAGGAGATAAATGTAGAATAGAAGAGAATAATAAAGACTAGAATAGAATAGAGATAAATGTAGAATAGAATAGAATAATAGAATAAGAAGAGAATGAAGAGAAGAGAATGAAGAGAAGTAATAAAGAATACAAAAATAGAATTAGAATGAGTAGAATAGAATAGAATAAGAATAGAGATAAATATAGAAGAGAATAGAATTAGAATAGAATGAATAGAAGAATAGAAGAACAGAAGAAGAAGAAGAAGAAGAGAAAAGAAGAATAGAATCCAATCTGGAAGGGACCTTGGAGGTCTTCTAGTCCAGCTCCCTCCTCAAGCAGGAGAATCTATACCATTTCAGATAAATGACCGTCTAGTCTCTTATAGAGGTCAGTGGTCTACAAATAATTGTGCGAATAAATAGGGATGAAGATTTGTCAATTGAGGAAGGGGTGGGGGGGTGGGGAATGCTATGGAGCCACTGCTGGCCATATCTGGTTTTAACCATCTGTTTTCTCACCAGGTCCTGTCCAGTGACAAATTGTAGCTTTGATGGATGGTGGAACCAGGAGTTCCACTTAAGCGCCAACCCGGTGGCTGGATTCAGGCCTGCCAAGGATGCACACAAAGGAACTCAAGAGCAGCCGTAATCCAGGTGCCTCGAGCGCCATTGCCAAGGTGGTTTCACCTCCACTAACACACACCCTTTCTGCAAACTGGCTAGAAGCTGGGCAGAAGGCAGTCAACGCCTCTTCCCCCAGAGTAACTCTAAACCGGCTTCTCCCGTATGATGTTTTTCCGCTGAGTTGGACTTTCAAGTTTTCTAATTAGTATATAAAGAAGTTCCCCCTAAGTGAAGGACATTTTGCTGGGGAAGGAGCTCTTCGTGCCAGCCTTTCTTTTTTTTTTTAACAGTGCCAAGATAAAAAAAAAAAATCTGAATATCCACATTTTTCCCACTATAAAGAGGTTTTGTTGCTTCAGTAGAACCATTTTCTTCTTCTACTCCTCCGTTATGAAATTGGAATCGGCAACGGATTGAAAAGCGGAAACAGCTAAAGGAACGAGCTGTGCAATCAGGAAAAAAGAAATGGGTTTACATTTAACCTCCAAAGTCCCCCAAAGGAAAGAACAGCAAAATTGGTTGTGAAATTTCATAGATTTTTTTTTCTTTTTTTTAATGTGCTCTTGTTGTTAAAAATATCAACTGTTCAATACCTGTTTTATGTCCGAAGCCGTGATTTTTAGGCTGCTTTTTTTCCCTCTGCAAATCCGGGAGGTTTTGCACCCAGAGCAGAACCCATCTTCTGAACTGATGCTACCTGCTTCTCCTTTTAATTGGGCTAAACCATCATCTTTCTTTAGTGTTGTGGTGGTCTAAAAGTGGACTATTAGCCTCACAATCAGCAGACTGTGAGTTCGATCCTAGGTAGAGGCAACTATTTCTCTCTCTGGGCACAATGAGAATATATATATCTGCTGAATATAACTCCACATTGGCGTCAGGAAGGGCATCCGGCCCGTAAAACACTCAGTTCCATTCAGTTATCCAGACTCCAAGAAGATGAAACCAGCATCTTTGTTTCCAACAGCATTAAAGGCAAAAAGTGGGGCAAAGACTACAAACCCATTTTTGGTTGCTTTCTGCAATTATTCAAAGGTTACATGCCACTGACCATTTGGCTCACATAACTAAGAGAGGCAAGCTATGGCCTCTTTCATTTTTATGGCATTTAGAAAAGACTGGCCTCTTCTAATTTCTCTCATTGTTTACAAATACTGCCATTTTCAACCAACATGGCCCTAATTGGTGGGGGGAGGGGGGGAGATGGAAATTGTACAGGTAGTCCTTGACTTACAAAAGTTCACTTAATGACAAGTTACAATGGCAGTGAAAAAAATTACTTATGACCATTTTTCACATTTACAACCATTGCAGCATCCCCGTGGTCATGTGATCTAAATTCAGAGGCTTGGCAACTGGCATGTACTTACAACAGTTGTATTGTCCTGGTGTCGTGTGATCAGAGTTTGCAAACTTCTGACCAGCAAGTCAGCGGGAAGCCAGATTCATTCGACAACTGTATTTACTAACGAGTGATTCCCTTAACACAATTGTGGCCAGAAAGGTCATAAAATGAGGTAAAACTCACTTAACAACTGTCTCGCTAGCGACAGAAACTTTGGGTTTAACAGTGGTCGTAAGTCAAGGAGTACCCTGTACAGGCAGTCCTCGATTTACAACAGTTCATTGAGTGACCGTTCAAAGTTACAATGGCTCTGAAAAAGGGACTTATGCCCATTTTTCTCACAACCTCTGCAGAATTCCCATGCTCATATAATCAAAATTCAGATACTTGGCAACTGAACTGACCACTGCAGTGTCCCGGAGGGTCACACAATTCCCCTTCTGGGACCTTTTGCCCAGCAAAAACAACACTTAACAACCAAGTTACTAAAGTGCAGTGAACTGCAGGCTGTAAAACACAGGGAGCAAAACTCATTTAACAAATACCTGACTTAACAACAGAAAAGTTGGGCTCAATTGTGGTTGTAAACCGAGGACTACTTAAGAGTATCATGGAAAGCCCTGTGCTGGGGTGTGTCTGGGACTAGCCACGGCAGTTTAGGATGACAGTCAAGAATTGGGGTGGGGTGGCAGGAATATCCTTGTCAGGCAAGATTAGCATTTAAAAATGTTTAAAATGCCCAAGTGCTTCCCTCCAACCGCAGTTTTCTTAATCCCTTGTAAGAGAGGTTTAGGTTTCGGTCCGGGAGGGGGGGGGGGAAAAGTAGCATGATGAAAGATGAGGTTTGCAACTGCAGGCCCTGGGGGCTGCCATTGTGACTTTTTTGCCCTCCTCCCTCCCTCCCTCCCTCCCAACGGATGCCCATCTGGATCTAATTGAACAAGAAAACGTCTGGTCTGCTCAAGAGAATAAAAAGAGGGAGAGACGAGTTTAAAAAAAAAAAAAAAAGGAGTCTGTTTTCTTTAATTGAAGTGGATTACAAAAAAAACAAAAAAAACCCCACTTTATTTTCAGAACGTAAACAAGCTCATTCCCCTCCCCTCCTCGTCCCATGAAGGCAATCGTAGACCGAGGGCCAAGAAATCTTCCTGAGAACTGGCTCCCTCGGGCAGGTGGCCAAGCAGCATCGAGCCATGCGCCTCTTGCGGCATCTTGCCCAGGGGCATCAGCCGGGCACGACGAAAGAAGGAAGCTCGGGTGGGCGACTGAGGACCAACCTTAGCCCGGAGGTGTGTGTGGGGGGGAGAAGCTCTAACGTCTCTGGCTCTCCCCCCCCCCCCCCCCCCTTCTCCAGCTCCAGCCTTTCTTCCTCCTCCTCCCGCGGGACGGCCTGTCAACCGCTTTCTTCCGAATCGTACTTGAAATCCTGAAGAATTTCGCTGATTGCTTCGATGGTTTGAATTAGCCTGCGTGAGCCGGATGGAAACGATAAATAAAGCGCCATATGGAGCCGATTAGCCGCGCTCACCCGCGCCCCTTGCAGCCCAGCCTTGTTTATGAAAGCCTACCAGAGGGGCAACCCCAGGGCCGGGATGGGCTGGCTGGCTGGGGTGTGTGTGTGTTTGTGTGTGTGCGTGTGTGTGTGTGCAGTGGGGGGGAAGGTTAGGCTTCAAAGAGCCCACATGGAACAATCTGCAAAAATGGGAGGTGCTCAGTGGAGGGTGGGGTGGGGGGGATAGAATACATCCTTTGAAGACCCTTGCCGAGGCCTTTTTGAGACCCCCCCCCCAAAAGCGGGGGAATATTCCCACACCCTCGCTTCAAATTGGCTTGGGTTTACCCCCGCCCTGATTTGTGAGAGGACGGGACCCGTTTTGGGGGCAAAAACTGTGACTCTGGCGTTCCCAGAAGGGGTTTTTCTTCCCCAAGGGGGGTCCCGGCTTTGAGAAGTGGGGAAGTTTTCCCACGATGCCGTGCGCCGCTCAGCATTGTGGGAAATTCAGCTCGGATGCTTTGAAAGTGCCAATGATGGGAACCGGTTTCCTTTCTCCCCCCACCTCCCCCCCACACCCCAAGTACGAAAGGTGGCGGGCGCAAGAGGCATGAATGGTTCCTCTGCTTGGGGGAACGATGGGAGGAGGGCTTGGGGACGGGGAGAGGAGAGCGTGAAAATGACCTTAATGCAAAAGGGACACGGACCGTACCGCAAATCAGATTGTGCATATTGGAACCACCGTTGTTCGGTTTACCAATTCTCCCTAAAGCCAGACTGCGTCTAATACCGCACTTCCTCCTGGTATCACAATGCAGGCATTGTGTTCACACAACCAGCTTACCCAATTCAAGGAAACTTCAAGGCAGCTGCTTGATAAGTAGCCAAGCTTGATTATTTTTGCCTTACAGGTAGGTGTGTGTGTCGCTGTGTATGTGTATGTATATATGTGTAGATAGATAAGATATAGATGATAGATTAGAAATAGACACACACACACATGTATGTATGCGTGTGTGTGTGTGTGTGTATGTGTGTGTGTATGTATGTGTGTGTGTGTGTGTGTGTGTGTGTGTGTGTGTGTATATATATATATATATATATATATTTTTTATAAATATATATAAATGGCATTCAGCTTTGTTCGGGTATTTTCCCACGTCACTGTAGTTGTGCTTTTAAAGTTGTAGCAACGTTTTGGCGGAATCTCATCTGCCATCATCAGGCTTCTGTATAGTGTTCATCTGTAAGTCAGGCTTTCAAAGTGGTTTCAGATTTAAATTTGGGGCAGCCTATTGCTGTGCCAGAATGGTTTTTTTATATCTGAAACCACTGTAAAAGCCTGACTCACAGAAGAACACTATACAGAAGCCTGAGGATGGCAGATGAGATTCTGCCGAAATGTTGCTACAACTTTAAAAGCACAACTACAGTGACGTGGGAAAATACCCAAACAAAGCTGAATGCCATACATGTAAGTACCCGCGAAAACTTAAGAAAACAAATAAATATATATATATATATATTTTCTGAGGTTCTCGCGGGTATTTGTATGTGGATCTTTGGTTGTTCGGGTTTTCTCCCGCGTAAGATTCGAAGTATCTAGGCAACGTTTCGATGAAGTCTCATTCATCATCTTCAGGCTTCTGTCTCCGGCTCTGTGCTTCTCGCACAGAGCCGGAGACAGAAGCCTGAAGATGATGAATGAGACTTCATCGAAACGTTGCCTAGATACTTCGAATCTTACGCGGGAGAAAACCCGAACAACCAAAGATCCATATATATATATATATGTATATAGCATGTGTATATGTGTGTTATGTAAAAAAAAAAGAGGAATTTCCACCACTATGTCTGTGTGAACTGTTAAACAATGCAGTCAAAGTCGTACTGCATTTTCTTCATTCTCCCCCCTGCCCCAAATACTCTGGCCTTGTCCCATCCTGAACCCTGGCCTTTAGACACAACATTGGAATGGTGATCCAATCTTAAGTCCAAACTGAGTTGTACATCCTTCCTTTACAAACGTACAACACCACAACACATAACTAACTGTAACAAGTACTGCTCTATTAGGGAATGTAGCTAAAGCTTTATAAATTTTTAAGAGTAACGTTCAGAAAACCTGCATTTTGCAAGCGCAGCTTTGGTGACTCACTTGTGCTTCAATTCTTGCACCTCCTGTGTGTTGGCTTCCACCCCAGGCTGGTCCTGGACGTTTTGTTTAGCAAGCTGCAGTTGTGCTGTCTGGGAAGAAAAAGGTGAATGTGAGACCCTCCCCAAGAAACAGGGAGAAAGATATAAAGTTGATTGTCCCTCTTCTGACCTAGGCTGCCCCAACAGCACGAAGCCCAATCCTCGTCCTGATAAACCCCTTTTATTTAATGTACAGTGAATTCCTCTCCGGCAAAGTCCTGGCCGACAGTCTTTCAAGATAGTTCACAATTACAGACTTTTATCAGGCTTGGAGAGTGGCCAGGCCGATATCTTTCAGACACCACAATACTTAGCAAGAATACAGGAACCGATCTTCACCCAAAATGAACTAATTGTCTCCTGCAAAATCCCACTCCCCTTTCTCTCCTCTTTTATTCCCTATGGGAGGGGCCATTCACTGTCCACCTGTGGCTTTACTCCCAAATCGACCCTTGTTCCTTAGTGTTTCCTTCACCTGGCAGCTCTGTGCATGTGCACACTGGGAACAGGCTCCAGCTGATCTTCTGCCTCGCTGATGTCTGATTCTGAAGGCAGCTGATAACTGTCAGACGGCCCTGGCCCCATCTCTGCCTCCGACGCAAAGCCCTCATCAGAGCCTTCCCCAGACTCCAGGACTGGCCCATGTTCCTCCCCAACCTCCTCACTGTCCAAGTCTGCCACCAGCTCTGCTGGCAGGCCACAACAATCCCCCTCTTCCTCCAGCATTAGATGCATTTATGGAAGATGCTAAACCAGGTTGTTGAATTAATGCATTCTCTGGTTTTATGCAATATCCTGAACAATAACATACAGATAGTCCTTGATTTATGACCTTTATTTATTGGGACCACAATTATCATCACTAAGCAAAGCACCTGTTAAGTGAGTCACATCCAATTTTACCACCATTTTCGCCATGATTGTTAAGCGAATCACCATGGCTGTTAAGTAAATCATGCAGTCATTAAGCGGATCCACTTTCTCCATTGACTTTGCTTGTTGGAAGCAACTAGGAAGGTTACAAATGGTGATCATGTGATCCCCTGTAACTATCGTAAGTACATGCCGGTTGACAAGTGCTTGAATTTAGATGCTACGACCGTCGTAAGTGTGAGGGCTGTTCGTAATTCATTTTTTTCAGCATTAGTGTAACTTTGTATGGTCTCTAACAAATGGTCCTAAGTCCAGGACTATCTGCAATCAAATAAACTTGGTTTGGACATCATACCAAGGAGTAAAACCGCAAAGCCAAGCTTACTGCGTTGCCTAAGTAGAGAAACAAAATCTCTTTAATCTGGCTAAGCGTCGTGTGTGTGAAGACAGCTGACTACAGTCAATTTCCCAAAACTGATATCCAGGTGTGCCTGGCTGTGAACTTGGGGAGCTGAAGTCCCCCCCACATCTGGAGGATATCAGCTTGAGGTTAAAATATTAACCTAGAACTGAAGAGATCCGTTGTAATGTTCAGTTCTTCCTTTCTTCAGCATCACCTTTGCCACCACCAACTTCTGGCTGAAACTTTCTAACAGAGCATAAAACTGGGGACAGCAGGAACCAAGTGCTCTTTAGGGGGAACGGAGGGATAATGGTGTAAGATTTGGAAGACACCCACCCCCTTGCAAAAAATTGAAACCTGCCCCTAAAAAAAACCAAACCACTAATAAGGAAATTTAAGTTTCCTGTCTTGTTATGCATTTCCCTTTGTGTTCGAAGGCTGGTTTGTGAGTGTATATCAACTCCAGGAAACACCCAAAATTTGCAGACCAACAACAACAAGAAGGAAAAAAAAAACTGCTAAAAAGGAAGGAAGGAAAGGTGAGGTCTCTACTTGATGGAGCAAAACCCCAGGTGAATTCATTGCAAAGACCCAGGTTGTTTTACTGGCATTGTTACAAGATCTGTTTGCCTTTTTATTTATTTTATTTTATTTATTAAATTTCTGTGTTGCCCGTCTTCCCTACAATGTGATTCTGAGTGACTTAGAAATTATGAAAGGTGAGAAGAAAAGATGAAAACAAGCCAACATTAAAATATTATTAAAAACCGTGTTAAAACCACACCCTGCAATAGCCAAGAGACACATGTGCCTGGAATGATACCTTCTTATCCCCTTCAGCCAACTCTAGTAGTGACAGTGCCACCCCCCCTCAGTTCTATTGCTCCAGGAACTCCTAGTGGTCTCCCATTCTGGACCTAAACAGATGTGATTCTGTTCATTGTTTTTAGCTCAGCCTAGCAATAGCAACTAGATTACTTATTTATTAAGTTTGTATCACACCATGTCCTCTGATACTGCTATATGTGTTGCATTATACTATCATAGTATAGTGTTATATAATATTATGTATTTCAGTCACTTTGGTCGAGTGGTTATGGCACCAGGCTAGAAATCAGGAAACATTGATTTGAACCCATGAGTTCTAGTCCCACTAGATAAAAACTGTCTGAGTGACTTTGGCCCAATTACTAGGAGACTGGGAGTTCTAGTCCCGCCTTAGAAGACTGGGAGTTCTAGTTCTGCCCTGGACATGAAAACTGGCTTGGAGGCTTTGGGCCAAGTCCTCCCTGTCTCTATTGTGGCCTGACAGCGGTCAGTGGAACTGGCAGCAGATTCGGACAGTGAGGAGGTTGTGGAGGAACATGGGCCAGTCCTGGAGTCGGGGGAAGGCTCTGACTGCGTCTGAGGCAGAGACGGGGCCAGGGCCACCTGACAGTTATCAACTGTCTTCGGAGTAAGATATCAGTGAGGAAGAAGAAAAGTTGGAGCCTGTTCCCAGTGTGCACATACACAGAGTTGTCAGATGAAGGGAACAGTTGAAGAACAAGGGTCGACTTGGAAGTAAAGCCACAGGTGGAAGGTGAATGGCCCCTCCCATAGGGAATAAAAGAGGAGCAAATGGGCTTTGCAGGAAACAATTAGTTTATTCCGGCATGCTTGCCAAGTATTGTAGGGTCTGAAGGATATCGGCCTGGTCCCTCTCCAAGCCTGATAAAGGTTTGTAATTGGGAACCATCCCGAAAGACCATTGGCCGGGACTTTGTTGGAGAGGAAATTAATTGTAAAAATGGTTTATTGGGATGAGGTCTCAGTTCATGGTGTTGCGGGAAGCCTAGGTCAAAGCACTTTCTCTCAGCCCAACCTACCTCACAGGGTTGTTGTTGTGGGGCAAATAAGAGGAGGAGAAGGATGGTCGCTAAGTTGAGTTATTTCTAAAAATAATAAAAGGGGGATTTAAAAAAATCTAAAATAAAATAAAAATAAAAACTTTAATGAACATGTTGCTATAAGAATCATATAATGTCCAGTTCGAGCACAGCCGTTCAGGTTGAAATCAAGATAATAGATCTCCACCTAACTGGCAACTCTACCTTACAAAGACTGGATTTCTAAGTAGGGATTTCTCCGAGATTCCTCAGCATGGATTCTGTTATGAAAAATAGGATCAAGAAAATAGGACCCCTCAACGTTATTTGTCTCAAAATGATCACATGAAACAATGGAAGTGATGGATCTCTGGAGATTTTCCAGAACAGGCTGGACGGCCATTTGTCTGGAATACTATAGGGTCTCCTGTTTGAGCAGGGGGCTGGACTAGAAGACCTCCAAGGTCCCTTCCAACCTATAGATTCTATGTTCTAAAATGGCTCTTAAAATTCGCTGAGCTCTGCAGGATGGGCTCATGTGGCAAGGAAGGGCTGCTCACCAGTTCGAGTTTCTCCTTCTCCTTCTCCTGAATCCGTCCCAGGTGCTCCGCGAGGTCTCTCCGGCCATGGAGGCCCTCCAGATTCTCCTTGATCTGTAAGATCTCCTGGGAAATGCCGTTGAACGCCAGGGTAATCTCGTGCACCAGCTGGCGATAGCGGAGGAAGTCGTAATCGGGGCCACTTCGGAGGTAAGCCTGGTGACCCCTGTTTTGGGGAGGGAGGGGGATATTTAGTAGAGAACTGAGAAAGTGATTTTCTTACAGAGCGCCATAGGCAAAGATTCAAGAGATTAACAGATAAACCGAGTTGGAAGGGACCTTGTAGGCCATCTAGTCCAACCCCACTGCCCAAGCAGGAGACAGTACACCATTTTTTGAGGGAAACCGATGGAAAAAAATGAATTTTAAAGCCAGTTATTTGAACCCGTGAGCCACAAGCTTTCCCTACAGCACCCTAAATGAAATTTGGGATGGCCAAACAACCCATTTTCCGAACAACCACGATTCCTTGGAGCAAAAGACCTCCATTTCTACTGTGAAAGTCTCCCCCCACATCACCTAGCGGGCCCAGATTGGAAGCCTGGCAACAGTTGATCCTGAGAAATAGTGACAAGCAAATAGTCTTCAAGTTGTGAGACCAGAAGAGCACAAGCCCTCCTCCTCCCCCTACAGCATCCCAGCTAAAATTTGGGATGGAAAACGATCCATTTTTCCAAGCAACCAAGATTCTTGGAAGCAAAACACATCCATTTCTACTCTGAAAATCTCCCCCACATCAACCAGAGGGCCCAGATTTGATCCCTGGCGACAGTTGATCCTGAAAAATACTTACGAAAATAGTGACAAGCAAACCTCTTCAATTTGTGAGACTATGGCATATGCTACTTCCTCTCTTCTAATATGTGAAGATATCAGGGCCTTTTCTATACAGACGGTGGTGATTAAATTCTGAAATGCTCTCCCAATGGGGAGCTAACAAGCTCCTCTCTCTTTCTCTACAGAAACTCTGATTTTCAACACTTGAGAACTCCTGTTTAGTTTGTTGCCTTCAGGATTTCTAAGCCACGCTTATAACAGTTCTCAACCGTGGCAACTTGAAGAAGAGTGGAGTTGCCCATAATTCCCCAGCCAGGCCCTCTGTAAGTCGCCAAGGTTGAAAAAACACGGCACTATTAGCGTTATCTTGCTCCTAATGATCTGGGCAACCTTTATTTCTTCTTTGATTCCTCTAAAAAAGAGACACCTACCAATCCTGGGGACAATGAGGTCTGTATTCATCAACAATTGCATGCCACATCCTCTATGCAGGGTTAATGGTATCCCTGTGAGGAAAAGGGGGGCCAGACTGGACGACCTCACTTCTCTCTCTCTCTCTCTTTTACAAGCTTAGCTTGGATCTTGGGAACTCCCTATAACAGGGGTCTCCAACCTTGGCTAGTTTAAGACTTGTGGACTTCAACTCCCAGAATTCCTCAGCCATCTTTGCTTATGGACTTCAACTCCCAGAACTCCTCAGCCATTTTTGCTTGTGGACTTCAACTCCCAGAATTCCTCAGCCATCTTTGCTTGTGGACTTCAGTTTCCAGAATGGGAGTTGAAGTCCACAAGTTGAAGTCCACAAGTCTTAAACTTGCCAAAGTTGGAGACCCCTTCCCGATAAAAGGCACAGATTGACAGGCTTGGCTTCCCATTAAAGATGCTGGATGCTCCTTCAAACCAAGACACCCCCCTCTTACGTTAACCTTGGATAAAGTTAGTTTCCCCCCTGCTGGATTTTCCGGGAAGGCTTGATTGATTTGTCAATGGCTGCCCTCCCGGAGACACCCCTGCCTAGAGAGGGTTATCACCCCATCTCCTGGGACACCCGAAAGCCTGCTTGTGGGGGGTTTGCTGTGTCGGGGATTGGATTCCCCATCCGCAGGAGTAAATTATCTGCACACCAGGCTCCCCACAAGGAGTTCTTCCCTCTGCAAATAGATCACAGGTGCTGGGTGGGTGCTGCCCCCTTGCTCATCTGGTTTCCATCAGGCACCGGGAGCCGGGGGTGGGGTTGAAAAGTGGGGAGGTCGAGAGGCCTCCTGCAGGGGCCCTCTTGAATTGAGTGGTGTGCAAATAAAAGGGGTGTAATGGGGGGGGGGGACTGGAATAGCCCACCTGCTTCCCAGTCCCTTTTATGCATGCAAAGCAATTAGTAGGACCTGGCGTTTTGCAAGGGAAAAACGCTTTTTGGTTAGAACACAGAATCATAGAGGTTGGAAGGGAATTTGGAGGTCTTCTAGTCCAACCCCCTGCTCAAACAGGAAACCTTATGCTATTCCAGACAAATGGCTGTCCAGTCTCTTCTGGGAAATCTTCAGAGATCCATTCATGCAATTGTGTTGAGACAAGTAAAGTTGAGGGGTCCTTGGCGGTCTCTGAGCTTGGAGAAACCCCCTTCCTTTACTAGCACTGATGATGTTACCTACTTGGGTCATGAAACGTCTTCAAGAAAACAACCAAGCTCAGAGAGCACCAAGGACCCCTCATGTCAACCCCAAATTATAAATACTCTCCTTTATTGGTAGAAATAACTGTTTCAAAGACAATCAGCTACCTCCTTTGGACATTTTGGAAGTGCTACAAGTCCTGGTTGCAGGTAGTCCTCGACTTATGACTGATCACTTAGTGACAGTTCAAAGTAACAACAGACCTTCCCAGGGCTATTTATGGCCAGAATTTTTCCAACAATATGCTTAAATAGGAAACCCGTAAGGCTTCCTATTGCAGAGGTAGGTAGTCCTTGACTTACAACTATTTACTTAGTCACCGTTCAAAGCTACAACGGCACTGAAGTGACTTATGACTGGTTTCACACTTATGACCATTGCAGTATCTTCACTTGATCAAAATTTGGGCAATTAGCCTGCATTTATGATGGCTGCAGCATCCCGGGGTCATCAGTTCTTCATTTGCGGCCTTCCTAGCTAGCTTCCAACAAGCCAAGTTAATAGAGGAAGCCAGACTTGCTTGTCAACTGTGCGATTCATTTTACAACTGCAGTGATTCACTTAATGACTACTGTAGAAAGTAAGATTGGATGCAATTCACTTAACAGTGGAAATTCTGGTCTCAACTGTGGCCATAATTCGAGAAATACTTGTAGTCCTTGAGTCCTACCATGTGAATACAGCAATTGTGTTCTATTATCCTGGATAGAATAACTTAGATTAGAAGACTTGGAATAATTTTACTGTCACTTTGAATGTACACTGATTGGCATTAAAATGAAATTTCGTTGCATGCAGCTCTCCAAGGGTCACCACCTCCAATACATCAACATGACAGAATAAATAAATACACAATTATGCATATACCCACATATATTATATGACACAGAGATACAATACAGTCTAGTTTGGATGTGTACCAGAGGTGATATTCAGCAGGTTCTGACCAGTTCTGGAGAACCGGTAGCAGAAATTTTGAGTAGTTCGGAGAACCAGCAAATCCCACCTCTGAGTGGCTCTGCCCCCATCTATTCTCCACCTCCCATTGAGTCCCAGCTGATTGGCTGGGTCTCCTTTGGTTGCCCTGCACAGGAGAACGGAGCTGGAAAGCAGGTTAGTGGGTTGGGGAGGGAATGGGGATTTTGCAGTATCCTTCCCCTGCCACGCCCACTAAGCCACATCACGCCCACCAAGCCACTCCCACAGAACCGGTAGTAAACATTTTTGAATCCCACCGTTGATATGTACGTGTACATGGCGAGAAAAGCGAATCTTGCAAATGGATCAGAGTGTGATGGGTTTTGTGAACTCAGCTGGTGTTTCAACTCTATCCGTTCATTTATCTTATGTCTTAAAATTAGAAATAAAGTAGAAAATTCCAGAAACCACGACAGGAAAGAACTGGCTTAGCTGACTGACTGACTCATTCCTTGTTTATAAAGCTAGGTACTAGCTCTCTCTCATACAGTTAGTCCTCAACTTAACAACAGTTCGTCTTGTGACTGTTCAAAATTACAACGGCACTGAAAAAAGTGACTTATGACCATTTGCCACACCTACGACTGTTGCAATGTCTCCATTGTCACATGATCAAAATTTGGATGCTTGGCCACTGACTCATATTTATGACGGTTGCAGTGTCCTTGGCTTCACAGTATCCCTTTTCGTGACCTTTTGATAAGTCAAAGGGGAAACCAGATTCACTTAACAACCGTGTTACTAATTTGACAACTGCAGGGATTCACTTAACAAACGTGGCAAGAAAAGCTGTAAAATTGGGTAAAACTCACTAAACAACGGTTTCACTTAGCAATAGAAATTTTGGCTTCAACTGTGACCTTACGTCAAGGACTAGCTGTATTTGAAATGACCAAAGCCCCCCTCCCATCAGAATGCAAAAAAGGGGGGGAGGGCTGGCAAAAGTTTTAGAGAAAAAAACAACGTATTCAAATACTTACTCCTCCAAGAGGTGGTAAGCTTCCACCCGCTCGGCCTGCAGGGTGTAAAAACGGCGCACCAAACTTTGCACATCCATCCTGCAGTGTAAAAGGGGAGATAGGATTCCTTGCATTAACAGAGGGATACAACAGAGATCAAGTGAGGTACTAATACCACTCTATAAAGCCTTAGTAAGGGCACACCTAGAGTACAGTTTTGGTCACCACACTATAAAAAAGATGTTGAGTCTCTAGATAAAATACAGAGAAAAGCAACCAGGATGATTATGGGATTGGAGACCAAAACATATGAAGAACGGTTACAGGAACTGGGCCTGGCTAGTTTAGTGAAGAGAAGGACCAGGGGAAACAGGATAGCAGTCTTCCAATATTTGAGGGGCTGCCACAGAGAGGAGGGGGGGTCAAGCTATTTTCGAAATATTTTCTAAATATTTGAGGTGCTGCCACAGAGAGAAGGGGGTCAATCGCTTGTAGGCCAGACAAGGAATAATGGATGGAAACTGAACAAGGACAGATTCAGCCTAGAAATATGGAGGAATTTTCTGCCAGAGAGAGCAATCAACCCATGGAACAGAACTTGCCTTCCGAAGTTGTGAGAATTTCATCACTGGAAGCTTTCAAGAAGAGACTGGACTGCCATCTGTCAAAAATGGTATAGGTCTCCCAACTTGGGCAAGGGGTTGGACTAGATGACTTACAAGGTCCCTTCCAACTCTTATCTGTTATCTGTTGTCAGAGGAAAGAAAAGAAACACGGGTAGTCCTCGACTGAGGACCACAATTGAGCCCAAAATTTCTGTTGTTAAGTGAGAAATCTGTTAAGTGAGTATTTGCCCCATTTTACTATTCTTCTCGCCATGGTTGTTAAGTGAACCACTACGGTTGTTAAGTTAGTAACCCGGTTGTTAAGTGAATCTGGCTTCCTATTGATTTTGCTTGTCAGAAGGTTGCAAAAGGGGGTCACATGACCCCAGGACACAGAAACAGTCATAAATGTGAGTTAGTTGTCAAGCATCTGCATGTACCAGTAAATCATGTGACCATGTGGAAGTGTGAAAAATGCTCCTAAGTCACCTTTGTCAGCGCCGTTGTAACTTTGAACGGTCACTAAATGAACTGTTGTAAGTTGAGGACCACCTGTAATGCCATTTGCCCAACGTTGCAGTTACAAGAACGACTTTTTCGAGGGGAGCAGAGTGGGGCAAATATCACCCTAAATTAGCATCAATACCTACCTATTCATTCATACAGGTAATCCTCGACTTACAACAGTTCATTTAGCGACCATTCAAAGTTACAGCACTGAAAACAGTGACGTATCATCGTTTTTCACACTTACGACCACTGCAGCATCCCCCTGGTCAGGGGATCAAAATTCAGATGCTTGGCAACTGACTCATATTTATGACGGTTGCAGTGTCCTGGGGTCACATGATCCCCTTTTGTGACCTCTTGACAAGCAAAATCAATGGGGAAACCAGGTTTGCTTAACAATCGTGTTGCTAGCTTAACAACTGCAGAGAGTCACTTAGCAGCTGTGGCAAAGAAAGGTCATAAAATGGGGAGAAAATTCCCTTAATAAATGTTTCACTTAGCAATCAAAATGTTGGGCTCAACTGTGGTCATCAGTTGAAACTACCTGCACTTTGATAAAGTGTCATATTCCGAGGCGAGGTGGGCGGCAAGCAATAATCTAATAATATTTATTTATTTAATAATAAAATGAATGTCTATTTCCGTGAAGGTAAACCTATGGCACACGTGCTAGAGGTGGCACGCAGAGCCCTCTCAGTGGTCACGGACGCCGTGGCCAGCTGCTGTTTCTTCACACCAGACCTCCAGAAAATGGCCCGAAAATCAGCTAAAAAAACAGGCTGGTTTTGGGGCCATTTTCAGGCTGTTTTTCGAACCTTTTGCCAGACCACTTTCAGGCTTTTTCTGGGCCATTTTCAGGCTGTTTTTCAAGCCATTTTCAGGGTGTTTTCTGGGGCATTTTCAGGCCATATTTTGGCCCCCCAAATGGCCTGAAAACGCCCCTCAAAATGACCAAAACCTAGGCATGCACGCACTGGCCAGCTGGTCGTCAGTTTTCTGGCACTCAGGCACACACGCACGTTCTGGTTTGGGCACTTGGTGAGGAAAGAGCTGCTAAAAGAGGTTTATTCAAGGAAGGAAATGGAGCCCCCATGTCTCAGGGCAGTCTACCTTAGACTGCCCAAAGAGAGGGAATAAAGGAGAAGAATTAAGCACGGACTATAAATCATCTTGTATCCACTGGCGGACTTTGAACCTCAGCAAGAGAATTTGTACGTGCTTTTCTTTCAATTTTCCCGTTTTCGGGAAATGAAAAGCACCTTTTTTTTTTTTTTCAGACTGCCAGATCGCCTCTTCTTTCAAATCCCTGAAACCGCTTTGATCAAAACAACAGTTTGCAATTAGAAAAGGGCTCTTTGGTGTGTCTACCCTGCATCCAAAGAGGTGGGGGGGACTAACAATGGGCTTCTTTGCTCTCACACGTGGGCGTGCAACTGAGAGTGACATTGATGTTGTGGGGGGGGGACCCTTTAAAGTTGGCAATCCCGCAATCTTTTCTCCTCTCCGAGCCTCAAAAGTGTGCTTGGATAGGCCGTGCCCGGTTTGGCTGCTTCGCCTAAGGTCCTCCTTTGCCAAGATCTAGTTTCTCGCCCTCCGTAAGAAGCGTCCATTACACCTTTCCAATCCTTGCCCTTAATGGCAAATCTTGGCAACGCAACGGTGTGTGTGTCAATCCGGGGGCCTCCCCAATTGGAGCCAACTTTCGGAGTTCTTGGACTACCCAAGTGGCGTTGACGAGTTTCAGCTTCTCTTTGCACACTATCCAAAATGCACACCCTCATTCACTCTCTCACACTCTTGCACATATACACACACATATATAGTACACAACAGCTGCGTCTTTTAACTTAGCACTTGGGGGGGGGAGGAGGAAGCAGGCTTCCCCTCAAACAGACTATACAGCGACACGAGGGCCAAATTACAGCAATCTTGCTGGCTTGCGAGGGCGCCCACTCCGGCCATGGGCCTCCCCACACTGGCCAGCTGCTCCGTCGCTTGTCTTCATTCTCCAGAAATATTCTGATTGATTGATTGATTGATTACCTTCACTTTACCATCTCACTATTGAGGCTCCTCTGGGCAGCTACAATACAGCTAGTTCTCTACTTATG